TAATTAAGTTAGTCTCACTATGGACCCTGTCGGGCACAACAATAATAGAAAGGAGGAGCATTAGTTTTTATTATTGAAATTTATAAAAAATTAAGAATACATAATTATAAAGAATCATGTCCACTTTCCATACATTGATTGACCTGTCACTCGTTTTCTTTTATAGGTCGCGTCTACTTACAAATGGTGTTATTTTAAATTGGTTTTTGCTTAAAATAGAATTTAACAAACCTTAGCATCTTTTCATCTAAAGCCCAGGGAAAAGACTGTGATTTGTAAATAATGTATGTGAGGTTATAACAACTGTCAAAACTCGAGATAATTGTGAATTTTATTTAATGGCATTTATTAATTTTATTGAAAATTTATTGAAATATTTTATGATTTTCAAATCTTACACAGCTTTAAAGTATTATTCTAATGTAATATAGTCCAAAATAGATGCTGTTGTGTTTTTTCGAAACATTTTTAATTTTGCTTTGCTACCATTTCTTTGACCAAAGTATACTTGGAATATTAAAATCGATTACGCATAATGTTGTTTTCAGTCTTATATTATATTATAAAATAGAAATAAAATCAGTGTTTGTTATAAAACTATTTATTCACAACCACTATCGGAGGATTATTATTATTATTAGAGGATTATAGTTATTTTGGTTCCTGGCTGCCTGGCCCAACCCAGGTACCACACAATCGTCATAATATGTACACAACAACCTACAGTACGACGTCCTACAAGACAATTGTAACAATACTAGCGATGGGCGTTGAATCAACGGACTAGTTAAATCAACCGTTAACGTAGAATCAACGCGTCGACGGTTGACAGTTCTTTGGTTAACTAGTTGAAAAATCGACGCCTAACGAAGAACCCACCGTTCGTCTAACGACATGTTATGAAACTGCAACGCATCATTTTCCATTCATAAAGATTCGATGTAACTTTGATTGCTGAAATAATTTAAACTCTAAAGTCAATGGCAGTAAGTAAATATTTCAATACGCGCGTTTAATACATAGGCCTTGTATATATGAATGTCAAACGTGATTGTTGTTTACATTTGTTTCTAATAGATGGTGTTATACAGTTCTTGTATTTATCTACACGGCGGTGTTAAGAATTTTACTAATTAGTATAGGTCAACTATTGTTGCAATATAAAATTTTTATTTTTAGTTTTGCATATACTCGTCCAATTGTGTGTTTTATTAGGGTTTCCTTGGGATTTTTTTTTGTCTGAATAATCTATCTAATCTTACTTTCTCTGAAAGAACGTTTATAGATTTTTTTTATTTTAGAGAATTTAATTCACTCTGGGCAACTGTTATATGAATAATTTTGAATATTAGGATTAATAATTTTATTTTGAACCAAAACAAACAAAACCTAAAGTTCAGTATATCTATAATATTATGTTAAAATAGTAAAACATATCACTATAAACGAAAAATAATATTTATTGATAAATATAATAAAATATTTATTAAAGATTTCTAGTTAGATTATTAAAAAACATTAAACCGTAAATTTCTTCTATTATGCCTACACCTAGGTAACTACGATCTTACACAAAATAAATATTATATTATTTTTTATATCCATTAACGTGAAGTAGTTCGGTCAACTGCGAAAGTCTATATAGTCCATCCAATAAGGTTAATATTTGTACGTTGGTTGTAGTTCATAAATAAACGCACACTCCCATCCGTCGACGTCCATCCTGTCGACGTAGTTGCATACGTTAACTATAGTTGATAATTCAACTAGTCGAATTTTCAATGATCAGATGAAGAGCGTTACGTTCGTTGATCAACGTACACCTAGACTACAACGCTTTAGTTTTGTCGTATAATACAATAAAACAACCAGTTAAAAAGTCGGCGGCTAAAAGAAGAACGCACCGTTCATCTATAAACATGTTACGAAACTGCAACGCATAACTTTATCTGTATAATACAATGGAATGCGGTTGTTTCCATTATTAAAATTTCATGTAACTTTGACAGCTGAAATAATTTACACTCTAAAGTCAAAGGAAGTAAGTAGATATTTGAACACGCGTATCTAATACATAGGCCTTGTTTAAATACATGTTAGACTTTGTTTGTTTACGTTAGTCCCCGATAGATGGTGTTATACGATTTTTGACATGGCGGTGTTAAGAATTTTACTACTTAGTATAAGTTAACTTTTTCCTACTATAATCATTTTTAGTCTTTTTTTGCATCCGAATTATATAGTGATTCATTAATTTATTATTTTAATTAATATTAATTAAATTAATTATCCTATTACAGAAAAATTTCATAATATTTATTTTAACTGTGTGTTTAAAAAACGGCTAAGTACGAGTTGGACTCGCACACGAAGAGATCCGTACATACCATTATAAAACGGCAAAAAAAAAAACTTGTATTTGTACGGGAGCCAACTTGAGTATTTATTTTATTTTAATTTAACTGTTTATTTTTAAAGTGAAGACGTATATAGGACAAATCTTCGGTAAATATTTCAAGGGTCATCTCGCTGCAAGTATCGATATCGAGCAAAAACATTATTTTATTCAATAAAAGCCAATATTTATTCTGTTTTTAGTATTTGTTCATTATTGTCAAAATAAATGAATCTTATGTGAAAATTTTAACTATCTATCTATCGATCAAGGTTCATGAGATACAGCCTGGTGACAGACAGACGGACGGACAGCGAAGACTTAATAATACGGTTTCGTTTAAATTACAAAACCCAAAACAATATCTAATTAGAATACTAGCGCTGTCTTTCGACAATAAAAAATCATGGAACTGTTAAGCCATCCATCCTTACCTTCATAACCATCATAACCACAGATGTACAAAATAAAACCATAACCTACCTGACAATAGATATTCTTACGTTAACACGAAAAAAAAACCATAACCAGGTACAGATGATCAACAATGTTTACTTTTCAATATTGATATACGGTTCAATAAAACAATTTAGACCGTTAAACTTCGTCCAAAGTTCATACCCGTTGACGTAGTTCTGTGTCAACTATAGTTAAAATCAACTAGTTGATCGACTAGTCGATCAAGGTCCATGAACGGCTTCGTTTCGTCGACGGAAAATTTGTCAACGACCCATCTCTAAACAATACCCTTTAATGCCTTCTCGTCCATTAACACCATTTATAATCAAAATATCGTATAAACATAATACCTACTGGCGCCTTGAAACATGCCGTTCCGTTTGATGCAAAAGAATTTCGCTCTATGCGTAACTGTTTCAACTGTACATTAATTTTTCACATCATTCATACCATTAAAACAAAAGTTTTATAAAATATTATTATTAGTTGAGAAAATAAAATTTAATGTAATTGTTATTGTACACTTTTTTAACCTTAAAACGAATAAATATATTTCTCGTAGTAGATGAAACGAATCGCAACAAACGGTCATTCTGCGGTCCGAATCGCTTTCTCGAATTTACGTAGAACTTTTTTAAAACTTTATCAGCCTCCTTATTTTTTTCCTGAACTTATTTTAGTACTTTATTAAGCGCTAAGCGCTATGAAATACGTAAAAGATAAGCTATATTTAAGATTTATCACACCACTAGACGCATTAGCTAATTTCTACGTCAAAATTGGACATGATTCTTTTCAATTTCGCTAAAATTATTGATATCAGATCCCCTGCTATCAAAAATTTTACCAGACACATGCAGGGCTAGAAATGTTTAAAACATTATATCATATATATATTATAAGAAAAAGTAATAATATTAAATTACATTTACATTTCATATTATTTCTTTATCCTTTTGAGAAGACATTTTTCTCTGTTCGCATATTTCGTTTTCGTTCACTGACGTCTCATACGCACGCTGCGCAACAACCGACTGAGCGCTTTGACACCCTAACAGCGATCACATTGCCAGATAAATCGGCCCTAATGCACTAAATAGTGAGATCAGGCGGTCGGGCGCTCACTATCACCCGATATCGGGACCCTAACTCTTTAATAGCGATTAGACTTCTCAATTTACAGTGTACCCAATAGATCGTGCCCGATAAATTGGGCAGTGAAATCGGCGCTTAACTGTCAGAGTATTGTGCTTTCGCTTGTAGGCTTGTGACGACATTTATAGGTACGTAATACAAAATGAATAAACAGTAGGTAAGCAATGAACGCACGCACGCTAGGCCGCGGACCACTATCACCTGTAGTCAAATTCAAACTAAGCAATCCGAATTAAAACAAAATCTATACGTCGAGCGCAATAATTGTGGCGCGCACAAGTTGTGACCTGTTCAATCATGCATTACGTATCAACCCAAAAATATTCGGACATGTCGGATTACAAGGGGCGCCGTATTAGACAAGGGCTGGATTAACGGTGGTCCACTGTATTCGTAATGAAAAATGCTTAAAAATCCACTTTGTCCCTGGTACTCTGAGATGAGATACGAACATTTTTTTTATTTGAGCATTTTTCATTTAGCATATTTTTCAGTGTAGCATTGTGAATGCAAAATTGATCAAATATAATACCTAATCGGATACTTTGTTATGATAATAAAATAATAAATTATTTTCAAATTATCTGATTTTTCTGCTAAGAGATCGTTAATGAGGAAGTATTGTAAGAAAAAAAAGAAAGCATTAAAAAGATAGTCATTTCCGTTACTTTTAACTAACATATAAAAAAATTGAAATTTGCAAAGCTCGAAACTTAGATATCAATACAAATAAGAGAAAAGAAACAAATAGTATAAGAGTTGTTTATTGAGTTTTAAAATTAATTTACTTTTATACATAAAAGAAATCAAGAAAGAACCATTACGATATCTAGTTTGATTTCTTGAATTATTATTTTTTAAATACTTCCTCATTTAGTTAAATATATAATCGAGTCGTCTGCTAAGCAGGTATTCGATTAATCTGACACGATGTAGTATGTACGTATTGATTAAAATTATTTGACATTGACAATTTTGTATGAGATTTGCTGTTTTTCCAGTTTTGCATGAGTTTTGCCGACGTTGAAAGAAAAAGACGGAATAAAGTGACTTGCGAAAATACCATTATTTTTCGTTCATTGAAACAGTGGTAAACATTATTACTATAAAACTCATAAAATACGTCTGTATCTTAATATTTAGCTTGAAACTTTAAACCGGTAACCTACGAGAATTTTCTTTTCAGATAAAATGGCGTCTGAAACATTAATACCACTTGAATCTAACCCTGAAGTTATGAATAAATTTCTTCAAAAGTTAGGAGTTCCAAACGATTGGAGTATTGTAGATGTTATGGGTTTGGATCCTGAAATGCTTGCTTGGGTGCCTCGCCCCGTTCTTTCGGTTATGCTGCTTTTTCCCACTTCCGATGCCTATGAAGAACATAAACAAAAAGAAGAAACTGAAATATTATCCAAGGGCCAAGAGGTTGATAGTGATATTTTCTATATGAAACAAAATATCAGTAATGCTTGTGGTACCATTGCTCTTGTGCACAGTGTTGCTAATAACACTGATAAAATTCAGTTGCAAGAGGGTCATTTGAAAAAGTTTTTAGAAGATGCTAAAAGCCTTGATGCGCAGTCACGTGGGACATTGTTAGAGAAATCTCAGGGCATAATTAATGCCCACAAGGAATTAGCTCAAGAGGGCCAAACAAATACTCCAAGTGCTGAAGAACCTGTAAATCACCATTTTATATCTTTTATTCATAAAAATGGTGTTTTATATGAATTGGATGGCCGCAAAGCTTTTCCAATCAACCATGGCCCTACTTCACCAGATACCCTATTGGAAGATGCTGCTAAAATATGCAAAGAATTCATGTCACGTGATCCTGATGAAGTTCGTTTTACAGTTATTGCACTAGCTGCATCAGATTAAAATGCTAATGCATAACTATTTATAACTGAGCTTGTCTATAGTATAACAAGCAAAGGAAGCTATTACTGCTTTTTAATGTGCTAGAACCAGAATATTCTGATATCACTTAGATACCCAAGTGCAAGCTTTGCAAAGCAAGCAATGTGATAATGTATGCCTAAAATGTATTTATTTACTTTTAAATTAAAAACTTGAGAATACCCTCTAGTATTATTATTAAGATCTTTAAATAAATAGAGGTACACCTGAAAAAAAAGAGTTAATTACGTGATGCTTTTTCAGCATTTTTTTACCTGCCTCCCTAGGTAATAATAATAATAATAATAATACATGGTAAGGTTTAAGACTAACCCCACTCCACCTAAATCGCGTGCGTTTTTACTATCTAAAATAATCTTTTTTTTTAGATGCCACTTTTTGGTTTGAGGATAAAATAAATACAGGTGATATATTACTACAACCCCCTACCCACTTCTGATTTTTGTCGAACTTTCAAGCCTCACGTGATTAATGGATGGTCCCTTAGGTGATTGCATAATTGAAATATTAATTGACAATTAAGTATTACTAAGCGACCCTGTGCTTTCTTCTCGAATTTTCTTCTCATTTGATTCGACGTATAGGCTTGTGGCCCAGCTCATATACTGCAAAATTAATTAAATACACCTATCCCCAATATTCCAGGTTCGAAATCCGGTCTGATCAGCAATGTAAAAAATGAAGATTTTAACAAACTCGAGCTTTATCTTCAATGAAGATATTATAGCTCTGGGTGCTTTAATATCTTCATCGAAGATAAAGCTTGAGTTAGTTTGTTTTCTGTTAGTTACAAATTAATGCTCTTCCACTTTGCACACCAAATCAAATAATTTGTTTATACAGGGCCTGAAGCACTTAAGTACATCGATGGTCAGAGCGTAATGCTTTTCATTTACCTTTGATATGAAATGTTTGTTTTAAAAATATAATAAAATGATTCTGAAATACCACGATCAAACAAAATAACTTATTATTTTACGAATTTTCAAAATACACTTAAAATTGAATCGATTCTCCTTCATACTTTGTTTAGGCTTAGAACTGTCAATTTACACTACAAAATCTTTTTTAATTAAGTTCTATATATTAGCCCATTACACATAAATATTAGTAATCTGTGGCCCGTTGTAGCGTTTGAACAAGTTTTTTATTTATTTTTAAAGTTTTTTTTATAAATCCTTAAAAATGCGCTAGTGAGCATGACATTAATGTATACACATCTGCATGTCCGGCTACCACAATATGTAAAATTTCCTCAATCGATTTAAAATCGAGTGAAGAAATAGTAGAACTTCCTTAATTTCCTGATTTACCATTACAGGAGGACATATAAATGAAAAATAAAACATTATTGTCACTTACACTTATTTACTTTATCTCATATTTACATAAGTACCGCATATCTATATATATAAAAATGAATCGCAAAATGTGTTGGTAAGCGCATAACTCAACAACGCCTCGACCAATTTGGCCAAATCTTTTTTTAAAATGTTCGTTGAAGTTCAAGGATGGTTTTTACGGCGAGAAAAATTATTATTGCTGGAAAAACCCTAAAAATAGCCCTTTTCTTTTTCCCATACAAATGATTTGTAACTAAAACGTAGTCAATTTGAGCTTTATTGCTATGGTATAAAGTTCATATTAAATTACAAGCACTCACTGTTGTCTAAGCAATGTAGGTGTGTTCCTAACGTCAAAGATCATATCTATCAAAACAATGTGCGTGTGTGCGTTGGAGCACAGAATACATAGTTGGAGGAGTTTAATGTCGCGTTCCGAAACTCGCGTTTCTTTTGTATTAGTTTCGGCACGCGAGATAAAATGCATCAGAATTTTTTTAAATACGTAGGCAAAAAAACTGCCACATTACAAATCTTTTTGACAGGACGAAGTCTGTCGGGTCAGCTAGTATGTATATAAAATCAAGTCTTAATTAGGGAACGTTTTTAATTAACTACCTAGGTTAAATAAACATTTTCTAAGTAATATTAAAATATCATAAAATTTCTGGTGTTGAGACAGATGTAGGTTCTCCCGTCGCGTTTATCGATGGATCTGTAAATACACAATTCGTTACAATTGGTTAAGGAGGAAGGGCCATGACTCTTCACGCTGGCACAATGTGGATCGGAGGGTATTAATAACTGCGAATGCAGCTGGGTCCAACAGCTTAACGTGCCTTTCGAAGCATGGAGTAACTCGAGATTGTAATTTTTTGATCACCCATCCCGTGACCGACCCTTGCAAAATTTGCTTAACAACAACGATCACGGACCTACTACACAATCTCTTCCATATTATAAAGTGTAATTACTACTTAAAAGGAGTAAGCGAAGTGATAAAATTAACTAAACTATATAATTGTGTTGACACAACAACATATCGAGTGATTGTAATAGTACCGAACAAATAAATCTAAGCGACAGCCTCTTGGTAGTTTATTGATGTTATTGTGGTTTTGAGGATCACTCGAACTACTATTACAAGTTTTTATATAAGTTACTGTGTTATTTAATGTAAGTCAAATCGAGATGAAATACATTTTTTTAAATTTATCTATTAAATTCATACACAATATAATTATTCATTTTACATTCATATAACATAACATCATGAATCGTTCAATTATATGACACTGTTAGGTACATAAGCAAGAAGATAACAACACCTTAGATAAATAATTTTGATGACAAGGCAATATTAACGTAGAATGGATCTGATCTGATGATGGAGTCGGAAGGTAGCCATGGGACCTATCTTTAAACGAAGCAACCCCATCGAAGAGCTCGTGCAATACGTCGAGAAAAGATCTAGGATCTCATGGTGGAACTGGAAGGTGGCCGTGGGAACTTTGTTATGATGGTTTAGGCTCATTTGATTTATCTGTACGTGATCTTTAATCCAAGATAACACGACAAAAAATTATATAAAAAATAAGAAATTGATATAAGTACACACTTCAAGTCCCGAGTTCAATACCCAGCCGGGTCATTGTAGAAAACGGACTTCTTCGGATCTGATTGCTGTGGTACCATCGTTGTCTCTGATACTCCATAATTTGCTTTAGCTACTCATCTTGTAATCTGAGCAATGTATTTATGTGATTGTTGTTTTGTTAATATTAAAAAAATATTTATATATATTTACCATTTGATAAGGATTCACTGGCAGGAGCAAATTTAGGCAAAAACACAGTTAGAGCGAGACCGACAAGCGTGGCTCCGCCGCACACCCACGATAATACGTCCTTATAATAATCCGAATCTGCTTCATCCGCACTGCAACCGAACAATAGTTATTATCTATATGCCCCATAAAATTAGAATAATGAGTAAACAACGTCCAGATAACTAATATGTATAACTTCTGTAACATTGCATTGATACGAGTACAATTGGGATGACACTAATTTTGTTTGTATATTTGTATACCGTCAGATAAATTATTAAAGAATTTTAAATAGGTATTTTTTGCGTAATCATTAAATTACGGCGATAAATTGAGTTGAAATGTCGCATATAAATAATTTAAACTATAAAAATGCCATAGTTAAGATGGTGAGTCCACGCAAAACCACATCTTTCAACTGGTTTTGTATAAAGAAATAATGCCCAAAAACTTCTTACATTTCTTGTTGTATTTATACCCTTTTAATAGGGAAAATTGATAAATATGAGTCATTTTGAATTATGTATACCTACAGCACTTTTACATTAATCATAATATCTGCGAGTAATTAATTAAAAATTGTTTTTGATGCGCAATTCGCTATCTCTGTAACTATCAAACTTAGTGCTAAGAGATGGAAGAATTAATGACTCTTTTTTCCTTTGTGTTATTTAAATAAATGTATACCTTTGGTTATTATTTGGTCCACAAACAAGTCGTGTATTCTATTGGTACTGTCAGAACTTCTAATACAGTCATATATTTAGCTTTCGAGATGACCATAAATCCCAGTATTTTACACGTGGAGAAGCTACCCGATCTATTTGTATATTAAATTTGTAAAGTCGCTTCCCGCTGTCTGTAGGTTCGCTATACGACGTTATATATATTTTAAACTAAACAGATTTTAGTGCGGTTTCATTAAAATATAGAGTGCTTCAAGAGGTAGTTTTGTATGTGTAATAGAGGACCACGTGGGCGAAGCTGCATGCGGTTAATATAATATAAAATCGAATTATCTGCCTCGTTGGTATATTTTGATTAGGTTTTTTTATAAAATTAAGAACTTTTTTGAATAATTATAGTATACTGTATTAACTATTGATTCGACCTATTATAATGGAATTCAATGAACACGTTGCCGGGCCTGTTCGTGTAGTTATGTATGACGCATGAGTCAGAGTCAACGACGCCTGTGGGGTAATCTCAATTACTCATTGAGAACGAAACCATAATATCGTTCATATGACAAAACAATGACTCAAAGGAAAAAAAAACATATTTTCGTGTTATAAGTAGACAACAGCTGTGCAATCGAATAAATGAAAAAATTATAATACGAATAACCTTCGTTAAATCAAGTTAATATGTATATCACGGTGGATTTTTTTACACATCTTTAATAGTTTAATTTCAAAATTAGTTGCACAAATTTAGTCTTTTGTAGGATACTTATTTGCTTTGTAGTGTATATACGTCATTCTCTATATTTAGCGACATATACCAACGAAGAGGAAAATGTTTAAATCCATTTGAGGAAATAACATCGAATGTTAGTTTTGAATAGAACATAAATGTGTGTACAGTAATCATCCGATGTTTGAATAAGTTCATACACATTTGAATAAACATTATGTCAATAAATAAATGTACTTACTATTTTTGTATGACAGATATTGCGATACCACATGACAGTTTATCTGTAAAACTCATTATGCCGTAGACGAAGGCAGATACTCCTGTAGTTGATCCAATCAGATCTGCAGTAAGTGCGAGGCTGGTAACCAACATTACAGCACCACCAAAACCTGGAAATAGTAGTATTGATTGAGTTTGTTTTAATTAAAAAATCTGTATCCCCCACCTCTTTTATTTATTGCAAATTAAAAAACAATTGCTTGTTTCTTTTATGGAATATTGAATGGATGTAAAATGAAAAAAAAAATGGATGAAAATTGAGTTTGAAGTTAGTGATTTTTAGTGTATGCGCCCTTCTAATTCGGGGGCTAATTGTCTAATTTTAACATCTATCGCAATCCTTTTCAATATGACATTTGAACGAAATTCACAAACTGCACGCTACAACTATTTCACAAGTGATAACAATTTCATTTTTGAAATATATTGATTGCACAATATTGTTACTTTAACAATCATTGGAAATGTTTGAGGCAGGCTTTAGACGCAAATGTCCTTGAAAACTATTGAGTAATGTCAAACATAATGCTAGTGTTTATGTTTCTTGATCATTCAAATCATCATTCGTGCCAAAAGCGATTAGTATTTTAAAAGTTACATCATTCCGTGAATCATTATACATTTGAAAGGGATTCCCAAAGATTTTGAAATTAGCCCACATGTCCGCCCTGCTTCTGCAGTCATTAATATACTAATCAATTGGCGTGGTGGGTTTGTGTTATGAGTTATTGGTTCTACTTAAGCGGAAGGCATGTGCCCCAACAGAGCGGACAATAATAAATACTAACCTATTAATACTGCGACTATATAAATAAAATATACTTTGTAGATGTCGTCCGATTCCATGTATATCCACAAAAAACCGGCTAGAGCACATCCTGATCCCACCAAATAATTTAGTTTCCTTGTGAATGATCTCGGAACAACCCTCAATACACCAGCGGCTGCTAAGCTCCCGAGATAAACAGTTAGAGGTACGACGGCTAGAGAGCGCGCAGCTAATCCCAATGTCCGATGAAGGTAAAGAGGGATTAACACTTGAGATACATTTACTACTAATCTTGTGCTCATGTAAACGCCAGCAATCTGAAAAGACCACCATCATCACAATAATAGTATTTCACAAACAGTTGCACAGATCCTTTAATAAAGCAAACATTGGTATAAAGCAATGCTTTGCAATATGTGGGCCACTATCCCTAGGGGAATCGTGAGCTTTAATAAAATATCAAATCGTATTTTGAAATATTGATTACTAAATAAATAGGACCATAAATTAAAGAAGATACTAATGTTGTGTTTTAATGGTATATATATTTTTTGTTCCTATGATCAACGGGTGGCCAGAATTTTTAAGCTTTGAAAGGGATCGTGCATTCTGAAAGTTTGAAAAACACTGGTTCAAAGAGACATTTGGTCAGCTGCACAAGCCTCTATTACGGTTCAATTGTTAAAAATGTATCGGAAATATCGCTGTAATGACGATTATAATAGACATTTGTGCAGCTGGATGATTCCATATTGGCAAACTAGGCAACTGCCTAGGGCGCTCGTATTTTCGGCGGCATGGGATAATCTCTCTTGTTCTAATTAAACTTGAACAGCGCCGATGTTCGTCAGCGCTGAGAAGTCGGCGTAACTATAGAACGCTTCTATAGTCAGCGTCATACCAAAACTAGCCATAGAGTTTTGTTCTGAAATTATACCTATTTTCTCAGAGCAAAGTCAGAGCCTATTTTCTTTTTCGATGAGCTGACTGCCGCAGTAAGCGCGTTTGATACGTGATGACGAATATAGGAATTATCGCAATATATGGGTGACCATAAATTTATTATCTCTAGCTCCTTTTTTGCAAAGCACCTTAAGCCGTTGGTTCTCTGAAGTTATTTATGCTCACCAATCAGCAATTTGTCCGCCTGGTGGTAAATCATAGCTCATTCTCCATATTCAATTTGATACGACAGGGAAGTGAGGACATTAATAAGCTGATGATGATGACACATTTATCTTTATTCTTAAGATAGTTTACAAATTAATTCAAGAAAATATTCGAATATTCACAATTACCTAAACTACTTGAGCTAAATGTTCTTTAACTATAGATTTCAGAAAAAGCTAACCATAAGTTTTTTTAAATTAAATATTTGTAGGTTTTTTATTACATGACTGAATCCATTTCATTTGTTTTAAAACCGGCTAATTAAGCGATAAGTCCATGACAATGAACGCTATTGTTGTTGTAACGATAGTGTTGGTGTTATGAATAAAAAGCATTTGTACTTGAGTCCTATCGTCAAATTTATTTATAAATTGTATCAGTCAGAACAAACTTGACTTTATTATATTTGATCAATTTTGCATTCATAATGCTATACCGAAAACAATTCTTAATGAAAAATGCTTAAAAATCCACTTTATCGCTGACACTCTGAGATGGGACTCCAACAGTGAATTTTTTGTAAAAATATTTCCTTCGGCTGTTTGGGTGGATTGCCTGAACATTTATGAAAATACGCTCTGTAGTTGCGAAAACGTAACAAGCGCTTTAAAAATTCGTTAGTCCTGTTAGATCCTGGGTTTCTCCGCGCGGTGTATGGCCTTGGGGCCGATCCCACGCATCGCCTTCCATGAGAGGGACATCGCTGAGTTTTAGTGGGTAAACTTCTGTTTCTTGTCTAGCTCCTTCGGGGGTGGGGCCACAGGAGGAGTCCCACATCACCCGTGGAGCCCGCGCAGGGTGAAGCGGGAATGCGTAACGCATTTCTCAGCGTCAAAAAAAAGTGGCTCAGTGGTTAGAGCAGACTGCGAAAGGTCATGAGTTCGAGTCAGTGTGCCAGAGACAAAGTGAATTTTTTAAGCTTTTTTTCATACTTTGGTATATAAGGAGATACTGATAAATTATTAAATTAACCGAACACTCTTTGATTTAATGTTATCAAGACTCAAGATATGTATTAATATCATTAACAATGATATTGATTTGGTAACTACAGTTTATGTAAATGACGATAATGTACTTAGGAGTTGATAAGTTTCCTACGTCGGTCCTTATCAGAAGTGAAGAAGTGGGTGGTAAGTAAAAAGTTTTGGACGATTTAAAAGAGGAATCCTGTAAAATACCGTTAAGGATCGGTCAGAATGGTCCGTAAAACGAAACGCGACGCATTTGACGGAATATGCATCGCGAATTGTCGGTCGTGTAACATATAACTGATAAACATATGATATGACATTCAACCTTGCACACTCGACATTGATAGACCCTACACCCTACATCTATACCCTACATCCTACATCAAAGTAAACAAACAACAAAGTTTGTGTGACCTGTCAGACTTGTTGCAAATGTTTAGCAAAACGTGAGTAGTTGTTTTATAGTGATAATGCAGTAGGGTAATGATGATGTTCTTATCGAATTTCTCGACTTCCTTCATAAAAAAACCATCATTATTAAATCCGAAAAATTCTTGTAAACAACGCATGGATTAGGATAAACATAATAACTCCGTTTTTTCGCCATCCGTTCTGTCAGCTATCTATTAGCTATTCTGTCAGAAAAGAATGTGAAAAAAATCGTTTGTAAAGATGTTTGAAAGCATGTCTGGCAGAACCACAAATTCACCAAAATGTTTTGTAAATGTTTCTTCAAACCTTGTAGGTATACTAGCTGTACATCACTATCAAGGATAACGTCATCAGGAAACAAAGGCATCGCCCCTTGCATGAATTGTGATACTCCGATATAAAATAATAAGTGATCGATCACATAGGTCACACTTGTGTTTAACCACATATAAATACCTGATATAATAGCGGCTTGCGAAGGAAGACATTGTGGTGATTTGTATCATCATTATAACCATCGTCTATCAATACGTCTTGACGTCTGTAGGAATACTTTTCTTTAACTGAGAAATGGAAAAATATGGTAGCCAAAAGTCCTACGCTCATCACCACGTAGACAATATGTCTGAACTTCCAAGCGTCTTCTGGGCCGATTTGCTGAAAAATAATAATTTAAAATTATCGTAATAATTCTGAAGTTATAATTTAAGCTACCTATAGCCCTAGAGCAGATGCAAAAAAGGTCTAAAGTTCTTGCAATAACATAGACGCGAAGACTTCACCATGTTATGCGGAAATTTTAATTGCTTTTTATGTTTTTTTATAAAACTTCACATCCCTAAGGTCTCGCCATAAGTACTGTTCCAAAAAAAAATTATCCGATAATTTCTAAAAAAAATAATTTTACTTTAAACTTTTATATGTGATTGATTATGTAGAGTTAAAAAGATATGTTAACATACTAGTTATTCAAAGTGTCCCTTAGCTTTAACGCACGCTTTTAAACAGTTGGGCCAATCGTCAATGGATTAACAAGTGGTTTCCATTGGAAACTTGGTCACTGCTGCCTCCAAACAAAGATTTCTTGAGCGACTCAATATTTGGATGACGCTTAGAGCAGGCCATGTTTGTTCAAATAGACCGCGGTCGGCCGAATCTCTCACGGTCATCAACAGACACGGTTTTGGTGTACTTTTGGATGGTATAATAACAAACATTCGGCTAATCCTTAGCTTTTTCAATGTATCAAAAATGTCGACCAGCTCCTTACCTACTTTGTACATTGAAATTACTGCAATCTGTTAGTTATTGTAAAAAGTGTAAAGAAACTAAAAGACGTTTGACAGGATTAAAACTAAATTTAATCTGGTTTGTGTTATAGAACCACCAATGTTCATCTAATTTAACTAATTGATTGAAAGTTTTGTGAAACGGGACTATTGTATGATCCAAATGTAGATCCATAAGTAATGCATTTCAAAAAGGAAATACAAAAACTATTTTTACTACATTTTCTTTATTTTTACTCTATAATAAGTGAAATGATAAGTATTATTGTCTCTTGGTAGCAACCGTTTTAACTATTTATGTTTAACATATGTTAATTATTTTGATTTTGTTATAATACTGTATTCTCTTTAGTGCCCCACTCCATTTTGAAAACAAACAATTTCTAAACAAAAAACATACAATAATGGCGGGAATGAAGTATATTTTTAATGCATGTTTAGTAATAATATGCAAATATTGATAACAGTAAATTATTTACACAACACATAATAATTATTAACTAAGGTAATTACTTTATGATATGACAGTTTTATTTATATTGATGATATTTCTTGGAAGAAGAAAAAACAAATGTTATATATCTTACTTATTATATAATATTTGTTTTTAAAGTAAAGAAATATTTCTCTATCTATTGTGGTAAAATAAAGTATTTAAATTTAATCAACTAACATACCTGCTTATCACATTCTCCTGTAATACGTAATACAATCCATGTCATTATATACACAAATAAGTTTGAAAATACTGTGAATCCAAACCTAAAAAATAAATCAATTAGATTAGAACTATTACATTATTGATATTTCTAACACAAGATAATACTAAAAATTATATAAAAACCAGACTATATAGTTAGATTTCAGTCAAAACCAAAAGAAATGTGATTAATAAATAAAATTAACTTTACAGTTTTGGACTTTGTCCAGTTTTGACTGGATTTTGTAATCCAATTCTTCTTAATGGAATCTGATCTGAGTATGTTATAATTCAATTATAAATATTTACAAAAACTCATTTTTGCTGTAGAATAGCAGTTCTCACATTTTCGAAATAGAACCTTTTAATAATGAAGGAGACCTAAATTTAAGAAAATACTTGTTTTAAGTGTAATTATCAAGTCTAATAAATAATACTAACATACATACTATTATTTTTAACTCTGATAATAATTTATGAATTATGACTGACATTTATGTAGGCTCCACATATGCTTTGAGGAGACCTAGGGCTCCATGGAATACATCTTGAAAACCACTGCTTTAAATTTTTTTACTATTCATAACAAAATATATGTTTTAGCTTAAAACATACCTCACAGCTGTTAAATGACTCCTAGTGTGGTCATCTTCAGATAGTTCAGGTATGAGACTCAGGTGAGATATTTGAACAGATGCCCATCCAATTTGAAATATTAAAATAAAGGCGGCATAATAAAACATCTGAGCCCACTTATGTGTCATCGAACAACCGATACACTCGGTGAAAATAAATGGAAATGAGCCCAATACACAAGCAGTTCCTGAAAAAAAATATGCTGTTTTCCTAATACTTTCATGCTAATTAAACATACTCTATTTTATACTCATTATAGTACAAAACTGATTATATTAAGATATATAACATTACAAATTTTTTTTCATAGAAAATATTTTGGGCCTTCCTGTACATCTTATTTATGATTTAACAACATAATGACTTTCAAGAAACAAGACTAAAGTATATAAACAAGTTAATAAATATCACGCACAATAAAAAGTTATTATTATAAACTCACCAAATAAATGCCACAACTTTCGTTTGCCATATCTAGCACTTATAGAATTATCTGTATGATCTGAATGGAAGCCAACAAATGGTGTGGATATAGCATCAACTACTTGACCTATAAGCATCAAGTAACCAGCTTGTGAAGCACTAAATTCAAGGACTAAATGGAAATAAACTAAGAAATATGTGAACCACAAGCTAGCGCACACATCATTTAATATATGCCCAATTCCATAACCTAACTGAAGCTTAAAACTTGTTGATATATCAACGAATTCATTATCCATTATCAAATCACTTGATCTTTATTAAAGTTGTCTGAATAATTATGATAAGCTTTTTATAAAAGTAGATTATATATGTAGATTTATATTTAAAATCTTGATCTCATGAAATACGGTATTTTGCAAATAGCATGTTTGTTTTGAAGCAGTGATAAAATTTATTCTCTAATTCACAGGAAACTAATTAACGGTATTTTTCTTTTTGGGGGTTCAGATGCCGGTTCAGTATTTCGTCGGACAGAAATAATTTTATTCTGGGTGCCTATTCTCTTGCTAATGTTCAGTTTAGTAAATCACTAAACAAATTCTTCCACGAGTTCATCAATACATATAAATTAAATCAACTTAAAGAATATGCTTTATATTAAATAATATAAAAAAATAATCACAGTGAATCGCAACTAGATAGTAATACCAAACTAACTAACATCACAAATTAAACAATAATTAATAAAATATTTATAAATAACAATGACACTCGCACACGCACACAACACTTAACGGCATAGCATAACACAATATAAGTTACTTTATGGCATAACAGTTTGTTTCACGTTTGTTTGACATTGACCATTGTAACTTATGTATATTCAGTGTTGCCAGCGAGGTCTTGTCAAAAGTTACCTGTGGTGTGCAAAAAAGTAACCTTTTTACAGGAAAAGTAACCTTTTACATTTTAGATGTCCAAAAGCATAAAAAAATACTTACGTATTTATGGGTAGGCATTTAAAAGTTTCTTCTCCATATTTAAGTTGCTATTAAGTATAAAAATTACTTTTTCTGAACACCTGTAATTAAAGACAATAGATTCACAAATAAACAAAAATTATAGATCACGAGGACCTTTCTTACAGATCACATGGCTTTCTTATTATTACGTACAAAGTAAAAATCAATAAATTAGTCATCAGTTAGTACCTTCTTCGCTTTCCCCATCCTTTTTATATTTTATTCTAGTTTTCAGCATCAGCTTTGTTGGCTAAAATGTCATGGCATTTGGAATATTTGCTTTGGTAGCTATCAAAGCTGATATTGTTTCCGTGGCAAGCCTATTTCTATGGTCCGATTTAATCAATTTGAGCTGGCTGAAAACGCTGGCGTTTGAAAAGGGTAGGACCAGCAAAAGCATTATAACTTTCTTTAAACATGGAAACTGAAGCTCTCCTGAACTTTTTTTTAACCTAAACACATTGTTCCAGTAATCGAGTATTTCTAGATTCGGAGACAAATTTAAATGAGTAAAATCTAACAGTGCATGCATTTTCCATTCTTTATTTAGCTCTTCGAGATCTAAATCGTTTCTTAAATATCGACGATCTATTGACGACAAAAGTAAGGTCTTTTGTTTTGGCTTTTTAAGGATCTGTGACTAGTTCGATTATGTCGTAAAGTGGGTCCGAAAAGATAAAACGTTGTGTGATCTGTTTGATTGCTTCGATATAAAACGACAAACATGATTTTCTAAAATCAGTTATCTGCGTTTTAGGTGCTGGAATTTCTTTTTCAATTTCAATAATAATGCTCGCGGCCAAAATTGGGACTAAACATCTTGTCCTTAACATCAGGTAAGATGGTGAATCGCGTATTTAACTTCAGACGATTAGCCGAGCGAATCGGACGATTGAAGAGTATGTTTGATTTGATTCTGTGGTTGCACTTCCTGTCACAGACTAGGTAGATACAAGCCCCTGGTGGGAACATAGAAAAGCATTTCCGCGCAATTTTAAAAGTTACCACAAAGTTACCTTTTGTGTCGTGTAACCTCGAAGTAACCTCAAGGAGTTAAAAATCACCTAAAAGGTTACAAAAGTAACCTTCTGGCAACGCAGTGTATATTATCTATGATTGTAGTAGCGCTAGGCCCGGCTATTTTCAGGTCCGGCGGTCCGATTTTTTCCGGTCCGGAATGACATGAAAAACTCGGACGAGTAGCTTGTGCACTTGTCCGTTTTTATCCTGATCGGAGCGGCGCAGTGTAGGGCAGCTCTTTTTGAAGCTACACGTCACTTACGCTAGGTACGATGAGATTTTTGGAACGTCGGTAATTCCGTTCGAAGTCGTAGAAAGGTACCTTAATAATGATCTGATCGTTTTACATAAACCATAATAAATTATGGCAAGATGAAAGCATTTTTTTTTACTTCTATCGGATGACTAGTATCAGATGTAAAAACTTATACATACCCTTACTAATTTAGGAACAGCATTATTCACATACAATAGCTAAAAATATCTGTGACATTAGAATAAAATTACTGATAATGGTCTAGTACTTGATGTTTAAATTTTTAAACGTGCTAATTTTTTTTCGTAGTTTTGTAAAAACAACTTTCAGCGATTACAGAGATAGACCAATCAGTGGCGCCATTTCGTTAACAAATCGAAATTAGTGCCGTATGAGCGGAGAATTATTATGTTTAATGAACTTTACGAGATCAGTTGACTGTATTATATATAGGCATAAAATACGCGTGGTGTTGTTTCTTTGAGCAAAAATATTATTCCCTTAGAATACTTCTTTTTTAAAATTTATTAATGACACAAACATACATTTAAAATATTATTAAATGCGAAAAAGACATTGAGTCTCACTTAATTACTTTCGTTAATCTTCTGTTTATTCTTTATTATCACTTCTGTCAAATATTTATCTACACTTTTCAATAGGGTATTTGACACTATCGAAAATAAGTTGCATTTTGTGGTCATCCTGATAGATAATAATCTAATAAAGCTTATTTCTTAACATCTGCAGAAAAAACATATTCAGATTTAGTAAAATAACGTAAAGAAAATGCAATATTTTTAGGAATTTAAACAACGACGAAAACGTCCTATAATTGGTCGTCGTTACAACCAATCACGATTCTGTTTACTGGCCTGTGACGTCATCAGCTGTTATGTCAAGGTAGTGTTAGGCGATACATAAAATATCGATGCCTGTAGGTATCGAGTACTTTATAGTAATTTACTAACAACAGAATACTTAGTCACTTCTACTGATAGGATGCCAAAAAGAAATACAGAAAAAAATAATCATTTACTAAGCTTTTTAAAAAATCCAAGAAATAGGGAAAACGCCATCAATTTAAAAAAAGAGCAACTTCCATGTTTCCCATTTCTTGAACTTTACTATAATAATTAAAAATTACAAAGTCGATTTTGATGATGTATAGTGTTCTCCAAATTAAAAACTAATTTAAAAAAATCATCGGTATCTGATATCTAATTATCAAATGCCATGCATTTAGTGGATATACATACTACATGCATGTATAAAAAAAAATAGTTTATGTATATATTCTTTTTCGTACTAATGTCTCATCCATCTGTAGGTCGACAGGCTGTAAAGTGCGAGCCCTTTCAACAAATATAAATGAGTCGTAAAATATTAATAATAAAGAAAAAAAAACAAAAAGAAAACCTTCATATGTATCGATATGAAATAAAAAAGTTTCAATACTTTTAGCGAATCCTTACCTAATTTTGTCACCCATCTCCACTCTATATAGCTACTATACTATTGTGATTGTGAATCTATTTTCTTCTAGACTCGAAGTTTGTTTGTTATTTATAGAAGTATTAGTACATTGTGGCACTGCACTACGCACCACTTCTCAATTTCTCTTTTAAATTATTATTTCAATTAACTCTAGGGATGATCGATATTCATCGACGTTGAATAAACATCGATGTTTTAAATGAGGAAGTATTTAAAAAAATATAGAAACTACAAAAAAATATGTTACTAGATGGCAGCACAAAGTGTTGGATCTAAACGTCAATTCATGACGTTAAACCAAAGAGAATAGATTTGTTAGTGTTGTTATGGATCTGATAACTTGGATTAATATCGAGTTGAAATTTAACTAGTTCGAGTTATGCAATCGCAACTAGATTAATACAAAGTAATCTTTGAATAAATTTATTTTTTATGTGTATAGAGGAAAATGGAAACTAACATAATGGAAGTGAGCACAGAGGCTTTTTAAATTTATGGAAATCAGTTGAATGCTGTGATATAATTAAAAGTGGCATCTAACTACGGTATACAATACTATTACGTTTTATAAATAAAATAGGTACTTATATCATAGTACGTCTATGAATTTTTCATTTTAATATTTAACAAAAGTTCTGAAAAAATAACAACTAGGTAAGTTAGTTTTATTACTATTAGTTGTTTGTTGAACTTACATCGACAAAACTACATCAAGTCTCAATATTTTTTTTATATTATGTATGGTGAATGAATGAATAGGGTTTATTAATCAGCAACAAAAGTCATAAAAACAATATTTTTTATGAAAAATCCGTTTATTATCTATAAACTTACCCGATATGTATCAAATATACTATGTATTCGTACAAAATAATATAACTGCTGGCTAAAATGACGTTTATGAAAAGTGTAACGTGCAAATAACTTGTGCTTTCGAAATTAAGACCTTATAAAACTATTATCAGTTATTAAATCTTATATTCATAATTAAATCATCTTAATAAACATTCAGCAATTAACAAGAAACGTCTGCTCTAAACGTACAACAAGGTTATAACTTTAAATTTCAAATGTCAAAGACACGTACAGTTATTATATCGCTACTGATCTTGCATGTCGACGGCGGACGTCGAGCCATGTGTTAAGTTAATTCTCTACCTACCTACCTAAGTACCTAGAGTAGTTATGGTCTCTTAAAATCTCTGCGGTGGTATCGTGTGCGTTAGGTGGTTACGATCCCCCAGATATAGTATAGTTGAGTTGTTTAGTTGAAATTAAAAAAGCAGCCCTTGCTGAGTTTCTTGCCGTTTCTTGTCAGTAAGAGATCTCCCGCCTTAGTTTTGCGAACCATTGGTAAAGTTTTCGACTTTCACAAGTACTATGTAACAGTCTAGATTGAATTGATTTTGATATTTATATAATATCATTCGTTTTGTGGATACATAATGACACTTCATCTTCATCATCATTCTTGTTCTCCATTCCAAACCTGAATTCGACGAAAGTTACGAGCAACCAATAAGTTGGCTCATCACTAATGTTGACGTATCAACCAAACATCGTTCCTTTACACGTAACATAATAAACATTATTAAACTTACAATTAAAATAAATTAAAATTAGTTTGAAAGTGAGATATTATAAGAAACACAAAACGATGTCATATTTATTAATCGAAAATATTCCATTTACATTTATTACGTCAGAAATAAAATTCATAAACAAAATCCAAAAATCGCGAGTGACATCTAGTATGATTTCAAGAACTAATTTTTATTTTTTAAATACTTCCTATTTCGTGCCAAACATCGGGTTTATGAATAAAATGTCAAGATACCCGTTGGGCCATCTAACGTTCTCCGGATGTACTAGTTAGATGATCTCGTATATCAAAATCATCTATTTTATACTAGATGTCACCGGTTGCACTCGTAACTGGAGTACGCAAACAAATATTTTTTTCTTTGCTTGCACTTTCCTAGAAAATTAGAAATAAATCTGTCAACTTCAGCGCTCGTTGGTATCTTACAAGCTACTTTATTCACCGGTCTTAGTTTCAAAGATCCGTCATTAGATAGTTCCACGTGCGAGGTCACAGATCTCGGACACAGCAGTGCACAAGCGTAAACACGTTTGTCATTGCCGCCATCATGGACCTGAAAAAACCGGTCCGGAATAGAGAAAAGTAAAATTCCGGACGGTAAAATTCTGACAGTGCACAAGCGCGCATTACCTACATATGGCCTGACCTGAAAAAATCGGACCGCCGGATATGAAAATTCAGTGTAGTGCACAAGCGCCCTTAGTCGGTCGGACATCCAAGACTAAATAATAGTGTTTCCTTTCACCCTTTGATTACAGAATCCTAAAAAAAACATCTAATTTGAATACTAGTGTTATCTTTTGACAATAAAAACATGAAACTGACATGTTTTACCATCATAACCACATATAAAAAATAAAATCATGACATACCTAATAATAGGTATACCTTCGTGAACAAGAAAATAAACTATTCAAACCGTTGAACTTCGTCCAACGTTCATGTAACGTAGTTAACAGTTAAAATTAAGTACTTGATCGACTCGTCGATCAAGGTATATGAACGGCTTCGTTTTGTCGACGGCATATCTCTAAACGACCCATCTCTAGATCATTGACAAATGCACGGCACATGGTTGACACGTTTGATATGTATCTACCGGTATCTACTTAAAATAATTCAATTTAATGAACTTGATGTTCCAAATTCTAAATTATATTCACAAGATTAAATATTTTCCAAAAAATATAATACAAGAAAATTAGATAGACCAAAGTGACATTTAGTGGGTTGCTACTTTAACGTAAATAAAAATAGTTTTGTGATCGGGGTGATGATTCGTTTATCACAATTAGTTATGTATGTATGTAGGTACGTTTTAGCTTACAAACGTAAACTATGCGGCGGCAATTACACTCTTTCATGCGTGGCGTGCCCTTTGGGCGCGTCAGATGGCTATTTAACTTATTATAGTTTCATCACGTAATCGTTAAATCAATTTTCTATGAGAGACCTTCATTCTATGACATTATTTATTTTTAGTATGATTTTAGATATTTATTATTTTAATTAATATTTTTTTAAATATCCAGTCTATAGTAATACTTGATACTAGGTCGAAAAACATCTTTCCATTCCATAGATACTTTTTGATTGTCTCACTATTATTTTGGTTCATTCATTGTACAATTAACTGCACATCAGACGGTATAAAGCTGTCAAAATTCCGTACTCAATTTTAAACCTAATACCATTAAAATAGAGGTCTAAGTTCATTGCAGAAATTTGACATTTTGTGGTAACCTGACGTTAGCTGTTTGTACTTATCATTTGTCAATGCTATTCCTTTTTATATTACATTACTCTTTGAATCAGGTTCAATCCTGAACCGAGATTAGCCATTTTTGGCCATTTTTCATTCGTTTCATTTTACATCTAGAAATTAATTTATTTACTTTACTGAATTGTGCGAAATGCGCAGAGAAACTATTAAAATAAGAAGAAAGAGGTTCAATCCTTAACTCTATGGTTCATTCCTATGTCAATTTTACAAATAGATTTGAGAAACTAATCCTTAATCTGTGATTTGAGTTTTGTTTGTGGAAATGTGGATTTATGTTTATCGTTATTTTAGTGATATTATTGAACAAAATGGATTAATGATTGAGTGATACACTCATCCATGATTTGCAATAGTTTTTGTTATTTAAATATAAAAGTGCAATGGCTGTATTACTAATAATATTTATGACTGCAGTATTTGGAGCTTTTGGTGATGATTTTATAGAAGAGATTTTCATTAAGCCCTTACCCCCTACACATCTTTATTCATATTTCCAATTCATTACCTTAATTAATAATAACGATTCATGTAAGTTTAACGTACAAGGTATTTTAAATATTAAGAAATCTATGTTATAAATAACATTATACTTGTATTTTTCCAGTTGTTCATTCTAATCTATCACCGAGATCAATTGGAGAGGTTATATCCCGGTTTAAAGTAGAAGAATTGCATTTAACTCTTACTGAAGGACAATGGAGGCACAATCAGTGGGGATATCCTGTTGTTGATGCTGCACCTGGTGCTGAACTATATGCCTGGTTTGATCCCGAGGTTGAAGATATAGATGCAGAATGGCGTAAACTGAGCGCGACACTTTCAGGATTATTTTGCGCGTCACTTAATTTCATTGATAGTTTTAACACTATTACCCCCCAAATGGCACTGTGGCCTACTGGCCCAGTGAAATCAAATGTAAATGTAACATCATTGCTTAGATATGCATCTCTACCTAGAGAAATTGTGTGTACTGAAAACTTAACACCTTGGAAGAAACTCCTTCCTTGTGAATCAAGTAGAGGATTTTCAGCTCTATTGAATTCAAGGATGATACATAACACTAATTACCATTCAATTGGTGTACATGTCCGGAAAGTCTGTGCATCTGAAGATTGCACTGAGACTAAACTGGAAATAAAGCAAACAGTGGCTCTTGTATATGATTATAAAATAATTGGTAGTAATAATTGGTCATTCATTAAACTATTTGGTCATGGCTTACCTGGAGCCTGCCCACTTGCTACAACCAGTACTATTTATATTGATATAACATCTAATGTTACATTTCCTTTCCAACTCTCCCCTCCGCCTGATAAAATTGTTTCATCACATAGAGGAGGAAGTGTTACTAATCTAGCAGTGTATAATATTGAAACTGATGTAGAAATGATCAATGTTGGTGTTAAACACAACAGCAAAGAGAAATTGGGTGTGAATGTACCTCCTCCTCTACATTTCAACAGATATGTATTAGGTTATGGAAAAGAGTTTGGTGGAATTGTTACTGAATTGATCAATAATTATTGGACTGCTATAGATGTTGTTGTATTAGAAAATGCACCATGGTGGCTTCCTATACAATTAAGTTCATTGAGAATAAATTCTGAAGCAGAAAGTAAACTTGTCAAATCTCAATATTATTCACCGGGCAGAAGCAGACAGAAACCTTACCACCTAGAGCTGCTCCTTACATTACCACCACGTTCAACAACAACTATTACAATAGATTTTGAATTTGTATTCTTGAAATGGCAAGAATACCCTCCAGATGCCAATCATGGATTTTATATTGGGTCTGCTATTGTAACTGCAAATCTTCCTACAGCAAAAAATTACACCAGCATTCCTGTTTCTGGCATTAGCTATAATTCCACTTTTAATGCATCACAACCATGTATGTACAAAGAAATGTAAATTTATTCTTTATGGATCATCATTTATGATTTAAATAATTAATTAATTGCTATTGTTCCAGGGTATCCTGCTGTTTTCAGGACAAATGGTGCAATGGTGTCTTTACCAACTCCAGATTTCAGTATGCCTTATAATGTTATTTGCCTTGCTTGCACAGTTGTTGCTCTAGCATTTGGACCACTCCACAATATTTGTACCAAAGAATTACTTTTGAAGCCAATTGGCACACCCCTGTCTCTTACACAAAAAGTATTAAACTTTTTTAAAAGAAAAAAGGAATAAAATTAAATATCACAAATTACATTGATTTTCTATTCTCTTATATTAGAACCCTATATAATTATAATTGGAGAAATACTTGTTTTGTTTGTATAGCCTTAGATCTGGTTTCTGAATTGAGAATTTAAAGTTAGGCATGTCTCAAACCGTACTCAAACGATTTAAAATGTTACTTATACAAATTTTCGTTTTTGATTGAAATTTATTTTTAAGATCAGTTGATAGCAGTTTTATAAAACTAGGACTTTTTCAATCTGTAATTTAAGACCGTAATTCGAAACCAAAACCGAATATTGGGCCTTATATATAGTGAAAATGATGCTAAATAGCTAATATCAAACTAATATTCAGCGTATCTATAATACATATATTAAGTCTTATGTTACATGAAAAACATAAAAATATTTTTAAGCATCGCTACGGAAACGTATTATCACGATATGGTCCCACAATTTCACGAATCCATTTTATTTCTCCAAAATTCTTTTATTGAAAATTTTTCATTTAAAATATTTATCGGTTGATTGATAAATTGTTCAAATATGTTAATAAAATTGTCTTTTCAAAAACAAGCTTTAGTGTTGCACCCTGGATTTTGTTTTTTTTTTTTTTTTTTCTCTTTATTTTGGTACAAACAGTCATTACAATAAAGTGACATGACATTGCATATTTAAACTTAAAAGACAAATAGTACCCAGAATTTGCTACAAACAATGCTTATGCTTAGTAAATGGTAACAGTTATAGGTATATTAAAAGTACATTACTATTTGTTACAAAGGAAGAAAATATGTGAATTACAAAAGCGTTAATTAAATTTATTTATAATTTGTGATTTGAAACTAGCGATAGTGTTACTAAATAAATCTAAATCCGAGAATTCGTAGTTGTATGTATGAAGACAGCGGGTAAAGTAATTGTTACGGGTGTAGTTTTTGCGGCATCGAGGTGGCACAAATATATTTAGAGAACGTGAGGAACGAACGGGCAAGCGAGCTCTGCTAATAAAGTTAATTTTTGATAAAAGATGTGGGGAATCTATGTGATAATTCAATAGTTTATAGAGAAACACTAAGTCAAATTGCTTTCGACGGTCCTTTAAAGATATAAGTTTGTGACGTTTTAAAGAGTCTATATATGGTTCGTTGTAATTATGTATACGGTAATTTAATATTTTTAGAAATTTCCTCTGCACTTTTTCGATTCTGTCAATATCCACTTTATAATAAGGGTTCCATATAACACTACCAAAGTCTAAAATTGAACGTACAAAAGAATAATAAAGTATTTTGAGAGTTTGATTTTTTTGGAATGGTTTAGAAACCCGATTAATGAAACCTAAGTTGCGAAATGATCTTTGTACAATTGATTCTATGTGTAATTTAAACGAAAGCTTATTGTCCATCATTATACCTAAATCACGAATATTATCTACTCTTTTCAAAGTTGTGTTATTGATTTTGTATTCAAAAATATCCGGCTTGTGTTTTCTCGTATAAGATACAATACGACATTTATCAGTGTTAAGAAATAATTGATTTTCAGCGCAATATAAAGACAACGAATCCAATTCTGGATTGTAAAATATAACAGTCATCTAAACTAGAAATAGTTTTAAAAATTTTTGTGTCGTCATTAATATCGTTAATATATAAAGAAAATAGTACTGGACCAAGATGTGAGCCCTGAGGAACTCCAGATGGTATAGGTAAATAAGTTGAACAATAGCCCTTCATACTAACAGCCTGGCAACGATTTTTTATGTAAGAATCAAACCATCTGAGTAAATTTCCATGTATACCTAATCTCCAAAGTTTCTGTATTAAAAGGTTATGATTAATTTTATCAAATGCTTTGGAGAAATCGGTATACACAGTGTCCACTTGTCTGTTCTCATTCATTGCGCCGAGAACAAAATCTGTAAAAGCCACCATATTTGTATTAACGCTGCGTGATTTTATGAACCCATGTTGATTTTCTGAAATTAAATGTTGTATGGAACTGGATAGATAGTAAGTCACTATTTTTTCCAATAGTTTGCCGAAAACACATAATTTCGAAATAGGACGGTATTGTGTTATATTACCCTTATCTTTGTTTTTAGGTATAGGTGTTATAAGAGCTTTTTTCCACGTATTCGGAAAAACACCTAAACGCAGAGATGTTTGAAAGACGACGAAAAGAGGTTTACATAATTGCTTTGCACAACTTGATATGAAATATGGGTGTATACCATCAGATCCGGCGCTCTTATTAACATCAATATGTTTTAAGTATTTGAATACAATATTTTCATTTAATATCAGTTGCCCGAGATCGATAGATGTTTCATTCGCTATATTACTTTTATCATATTCAATATTATAATTATCTGTGGGACTAATAAAAACAGACTGAAAATATGTGTTAAACGCGTCACAAATGTCATTGCCGGTTGAAAATGATTTATTATTATATGTCATTTTTGAAGGAATAGCAGCCGATTGGCGCTTAGACTTAACGTATGACCAGAAAAAGCGGGGATTCTCCCTAATTTTGTCCTCGGAAAAAGCAATGTATTTGTGATATGTTTCATTTTCTAATTTCCTTAAACGAGAACGAAGTAGTGAAAAAATTCTATAATCAGCTTGATTCCTATATGTTTTCCACTTTCTGTGATATTTTTGTTTTTCAATAGTCAATTTTATAAGGGGTCGTGAGTACCAAGGAGGATATTTATTTGTATATGAAGTGGAACGTATTAATTAATTAAGTCATTTAAAATTTTATAGAAAAGAAGTAATTTTGAATCTACATCATCATCATATCCCTTGAAAACACAATCCCAATCTACGGAGTCCAAGCTATTTCTGATAGAATCGTAGTCAGCTCTAAAAAACATAGGTTTTTTTATTTTATTTTGTTGTAAAGGTTCCGGCAAGTTAATTGTTAGGTTTATTTCCAGGGGGCCAATTCTACTAATTTACAACGATCGATCATCAATAGCGTTTCTGTAACGGTTACGTTTCGATTTTTGCTGTAAATTTGCATTCCGCTAACGTAAATTATCAAACGAACGTTTACTAAACTGAAACGTAATCGGAGCCAAATCGCAGCCGAACCAAACAGCTGTCATTAGTGTTACCAGAATAAAATAAATGAAATTATTAGTTAAACGGGAGACGATTAATGATTATTCATTCCATCATTTTTTTATCATTTCTGTACGTAAGGAATCTAATATTCTTATTCGAACGTTTTAAAATACGGACGAAACACCCGAATATTAGCTACATTAAGAAAATGCATACCTAAGTGTTAAGCTATAAGGGAAAATACCCGAAACGCGAATTTATAATTAATATTTTTATCATTATGGGTATTTGACACTATAAAAATAAGTTTCGTACTATTATCATCATGTTAGAAAATAATCTAATAAAAGTTTATTTCTTAGAATCTGTAGATTTAAACAATTATATTCATCGAAAATAGAACAGATTCTCATGTAATATATTGACAGTGTGTTTATAATGTATCAAACAACTATTTTAATTAATTAGTTTTCAGAAAATCGTCATATACCCAATTCTAACTTTTATTAAGCACTCAACTTTAAACATGCTTAATATTTAAAGCATAAATCCGATATAATTAAGTCTTTTAATTAACAAAAAAGTCAGATGAAATACTATAAATCCTGGCGTCGACTAAAGATAACGTCAAGCTTAAAGAGTTAAGTTTCAAAATTCGAATGGTGTTGGTTTATTTTATTGTTTATACCGAGTTTTAATTCGCAAATATAATTGTTATCATGTGAGATAAAGTAGCATGAAAGTGAATAATATGATTCCGTAAAATAAAACGGTACCTACATAGGTAGGTCGTGAACAGAAAAGTTTTGACTCATTTTCGGTCACTAACAAACTGTAATAAGTGAGGTATGCAATCAGTCCAAGACTAGGACGAGCATTAATCCAGAGGTGTATACTTTACTTTAAACAACTCCGTTTCAAAAGAATGTACAACAAAAATAATCATTAAATTTATATATTTGTTTGTACTAAAAATTTAATGTTAAAGTTAAATGATGATTGCATATGACTTAAGTAACTTCAATCCATTTAAACAGAATTCATTAAACTTCATTGAATATCATCGGACTTCATCAAACTACATGAATAGTTCATATTGTGACTTTATGGGACTTCATTAGGTTTTCATATAACATTTCCAATTACGGGCATTGGAAATTACATAATAATAATAATAATATATATATATATATTTATTTATTTGGGCGTTGTTGAATCAACAACCGTAGTAGTCCGTAAAACTTAGGAAAAATGCAAAATTGCACCAAAATTAACTAAAAGTATATAAAAGTTTTTTTTATTCAATAAATGTTACTGCAGTTCTATTACATATAGTGAATTAATCGATTATTTTCCAATCGATGTTTGATTTTCATATTGCAACACCAATTCACTTTTTGTCAATACAAACCACAATGATACAGACAATGTTTTAATTAATCTTTCATTCATTACTTTTTCATTTTACATGTAGAAATTAATTTATTCACTTGACTTTGGCAGAATTGTGTGAAATGCGCAGATATACTATTAATAAAAGAAGAATGAAATTGACAAAATTGAATTGTAAATGACAATTTAATATGGGATATCTACTAAAACAATCCGCATATGTGTATTTTTTTGTAATATTAAACTGTAATAGAAAGTGAAACATTATACTTGAAAATATTATTTACAAAATTAATTTTATAAAATAATGTATTGGCTACGCTGAAATTGGCAGAATTATGCGAAAGCCCTTAATAAAAGAAGTTTTCGATTGAAAATAAATATTCATACGTATCAATAACATAGTGAAGAAGATAAACGATAGTCGACTCAAAGTAGACATTTAAGAGAGAATTATTGATGATGAAATGAATCCAATATCTTTTGAAATCTGGCTATACCTACATCTGTACACCGAATCAAGCAAGGCAACATAATATATACTGTGGAAAATCTATACAAGATTAAATTTAAAACAATGTTTGTTATAGAAACCCATTAGAAATGTCATTATTGACTAGATATTATAAGT